CCACAGCTGCTGCACGCATCATTAGTACAGCATGTAGTGATTTTAATGTTATTTCTAAACTGCCTTCACCTTGTGCCATTATTTTAATTTAGGACCAACTGTTCAACCATATGGAGCAGTTTGTCACTCAACATCTGAATGTTCTTACAAAATGTGAATTTGTCTGTGTGCTTTATGCTTTCAAATGTGCTATATCTCATATGGAAAAGACAAATCTTTTTACTTTATTAATGTTGTCATTGACTGACTCTCCCATTTATTTTTCCCATGGAGAACTTAATGTTGGACTGGGATGCTTTTAAATGTCATAATGTAAGGAAATGGATACCCACATTCTACAAGTTAGCCTCACTTGAACCCATAGATAAAAACAAGGGCACCTTGCCGACCATTTTTGTGTTTCACGGATTATTTATCTTCATCCAATTGCATCTAACCTTAAAATACCAGGAATAAAAAAAATATCACAACTAAAACTGGCACTAATTTACATGATGTCAGTCTGATTTCTGGCCTGCCTGATCTCTGCATTCTTGAAATTATTCAATGATTGTTTTGCTAAGGTACATTGTTTCCCATACTCTTGTTATGCACCCCTCTGCTCTATTAGTACACAGTGGCCATCTCCCTTTCCCAAATACATTTTCCTAGAGGTAAATGTGAGTCTAAGAAGAGACAGTTGGTTTCTCCACTCAGCTTTTGCTATTGGCATCTGGGAAGACCGCATGGTGAGGCAGTGTTGGGAGATAGCTAAGAGCACAGGTCTGGATTAACACCGGTCCACTTAGCAACTGTGTACTCTTCATGTTACTTATCTGTTCTGTGCTTGATATTTCTCATCCATAATATGAGATCCAAAATATTTTCACAACCAAAAACTTTTCATAACCCTTAGGCAGCAACACCTCACCCACCTTAACTCATTTGCTCATGATCATCAGACAGGAAGTAATGTGTAGTTTTTGTCTTTTCCTGAGATTGAATATTCACATCTTTTTTTTCTGCAGAAATATTAATGTATCTAATCATGGAATTTATCCTCAAGATTTTCAGGATGGCACTGTGGACCAATAATATCTATCTCATGTTTTTGTTTTGAGATTAAATGAGTTAATATGTATAAAATTTCCTGGAATAGTACTTAACATATTGTAAGTCCTTGATAAATGTTGGCTCTGATTTTTACCTTGTCTGCAAAGTTTTCACTTTCTTGCAAGGAATAATTCACTAAGGTAAGCAACGACTAAGTGGTAGCCTTTGTCTTAAGCCTTGGAGACAGGTAACTATATTACCAACATGGCCACAATTCCTCCCTTTACATAAATAGTAGTCTTTATTAAATGGGAAATTAAAGTGAGATGATTAATAATGGAGGAGGAACCAGGCACTGAAGAATAATATAAGTTTGGTAGGTAAGGTCTCCTCAAGAAATGATGTTTAAGACAGAGTGTACCAAGTGAACAGATAGAAGGCTGTTATAGTCCAAAAAGAGCTATATGAAAGAGATATGAAGCACTTGGATTCTTGTTCCCTTGGTTTGTGTCTCCTCCTCTACTCCAAGTCATGGGAGGGGTCTTTCTAACTACCCCTCTTCCTAGGACCCAAGCTTACCTTCTTGGGGAGGGTGTTTGGAAACTGAAGGCAAAGGGAGCAAGGGGGGATGTACATTCTCAGTGTGTTACCCTGGAAAGGAAGGAGGAAGTGCTTGAGTCGCTCAGACCATGCCAATATCACCAATCTGGGAAATCGTTCCTAAGCAGGTGCAACGTGCCTGGAGATTGTTCCATATCCATGTTGCAGGACACATTGAGAGTGAAGCAGAAGCATCTCCCATCCATTATGAAGCTGCTGCTTTGGGCATATGTGGCCTAGGATATTGGACTATCAGGCTTTTCAAATTCCTTAGAATGAAGAGTAGTGTAGAATGGTGACCAAGAAAGACTACTTGAAGGCAGTGTACCTTGTACAATACGTGGCATAGAGTAGGAAGCTCTGTGAGTTGCCCTGTGTTTGGTTCTTGTGCAGCATATATTCATTTTACCGTAAGATTATTTAAAGAGGATGAATAGTCCATAATCTCAACTGCTTTATCAATTAAAAGATGAACAATCTCTTTTATAACATAAGGTGAAAACTTTGATTTAGGGCAATCTTACAATTCCAAGTGTTGATAACATTTTCGATTTTAACTTTTTTATATAACTCATAATTTTTAGATTAATTTATGTTAACCTATAATTTGCTAGTTTTCCATTCTCTCCTTTCTGAATTGACTTTCAGCCTGTTATTCCTCTCTGATACATTGACAGAAAGTAGAAAATTGAGAAATTATTTAAATTCATCTTTTTATAATTTGTGTTGATTCTTCTATTACATCAGTTGTAAGTACTGCTGTCTACATTGAAAGAGAGTTAAAACTAATAGCGTCAATGAAAGTTGTAAAAAACAAAAGGCTTAAATTAATGCCTAATATGCATATGGTATCAGCATTATTGTGAATAATTCATATTAAAGTTTTAAAAATTCTTCTTTTTAATTAAGCATTCATTATTTGTGTTAATGAGCTTTTCCAAGACAATGTTTTTCACCAGCTTCTTTACTTTAGATTGCATTTTCTGTCCTTCCCCTCCCCTTGCTGACAGACCCTGGTCCAGTCCAGGGTTTGCATTTCTGCCTCCGCTTCACAGCGAGGGCAGCTGGCACAGGCAGAGAAGCAGTGATGCTGCTCAGAGTTCATTGTGAGAAACGTAGCTGGTATTCCAAGCTCACCTTCATCAGGGAGAAATAACATCTCTTCCTTCACATTCCTGTCTTAAAAAGAAGAAAACTTTCTTTTATATGTTTCCAGTTTTTCAAATGTTTGTTCTTGTTGAAATTATGTCTCTGCTCAGCCTTTGTATTTGACAGTTATTTTTTTTCTGTTTTCATCTTTCACTCTCATTTTTATGGCATTTGCCATAATTAGATAAAACAAAAAGTGAAAAATCTAGTTTGGTGAACTGAAATTAAAGTGGCTGTATGTATTGGCATTAATGTTTTTATGAAAGAGTTTTATTGGAAATCCCTGCACTGCATAAAAGTCAAATACTCATGCATTAGGCAAAGCAGCTTTCCCCAGAATGTTTTCTAGGACCACTTGGATTTCAGATATCCAGATCAACTGTAGTCCTTGTTCCATGATCGCGTCTCCTCATTAGTCTGCATACGGCCTACTTTTATTTATTGTTTTTAATATTATAACACCTGTGAAACCAACACCTAAACCAAGGCTGATATGTTGATGATAACCTATATCCAATCAAACTGATCTCTTTTATCCCTCTGTGTCCCTTGTCTCAGGGAACTGTTTTCTTGAATTCAGCATTCACCAGTTCCTCACTCTCTTCCTTTATATTTTAATATCATAATAATGTATTTTTCCAATAAATATTTTAAAAATTTCTTGTTTTTAATTCTCTTAAGACTGTCATACTGTATATAATTTCTGACATATATTTTTGTACTTGACAGTAGAATGTACTTTGACACATCTTACATAAATGGAGTATAATTTCTCATTCTTCTGGTGGTACATGATGTAGGATCACATCAGTCATGTAGTCATATATGTACATAGGGTAATAATGTCAGATTCATTCTACTATCCTTCCTAGCCCCAGATCCCTCCCCTCCCTACTCTCCTCTAATCCAAAGTAACTGTCATCCCCTCCATCCTGTCACCTTATTGTGAATTAGCATCCACTTCTCAAAGAAAACATTCGACCTGGATTTTTTTGGAATTAGCTCATTTTGCTTAGCATGATATTCTCCAGCTCCATCCATTTATTGGCAAATGCTATAACTTCTTTCTTCTTTAAGGCTGAGTAACATTCTACTGTGTGTATATACCACATTTCTCTTTATGCATTCATCTGTTGAAGTATACCTAGGTTGGTTGCATAGTTTAACTATTGTAACTTGAGCTGCAATAAACTGACATGTAGTTTTAAACCCATCACTCATTATACTACCCATTATTCTGTGTTACATGTCATATTTTATTTAATTTTGAACGACTGCATAATAATCTGGGGGGATGAACCCATTTCTCCACTATCACTGTTCGTTTATCCATTCTCCCACTGTTGGAGAGTTAGGTCATTTCCAGGTGTTTATAACTGTGTAGCTGTTTGAACAATCTTATACATGCCTCCTATTTTTACCTCTGATAGATTCTCTTAGGAATAAAATTGCTGACACAAACAGTGCATGAATTTTCAAGCTGTTTTTCAGAATGATTGCACTAGTGTGTACTCATACCAATAGATCTGAGAGACATGGTAGATTGCCATCCACTTGGTCTCATTAGACTTTTTTTTTCATTTAAATGGGTATGAAATAATGTCTTACAACATAGACTTAATTTTTATTCTTCATATTTATTTCCTCTTTTGTAAGATGCCTGTTCATTTGTCTACTTTTCCTAAGATATTTATAAGTTGTTAGAAATCTTTGTATATTCCCGATACTAGTCTTTTGTTGGAAGGAAGTATGTGTTTTTGAATATGTTTTCCAAATTTGTAATTTGGTCTTTTATTTCCTTTAGTGACCAGTAGTTCTTCATTTTAATATGATCAAAATCTGTTAATCTTTTGTGGTCTTATTCCTTTTTGTGACTTTAGAAAAACCTCTTTCTAAAAGGATTTGAAAAATATTTACTCCTAATTTCCACTAAGATATTTGATGGTTTACTAGAATTGATTTTTGTTAGCTGAGAGAAGTAAGGATTCAACCTCATTTATTCTTTTTCATAAAGATTATTACTTTAAAATCTCCATTTATTGAACACTCACTTCTTACTCCACTGGTATCACTTGTTGTCTCTGTTACATACCAAAGTTTCATGAGTGTACGGATCTACTTGTGGACTTTTTAATTCTGTGCTGTTGTTCAGTTTTTTTTGTGTGTGTGCCCATCTTTGAACATACCTAGATTTTTAAGTGCTTTGGTTTTCCCATTAGGTGTTGGACATAGTAAAAACAAGCATTCGCACAGTTCTTCCACGCATCTGGAAGGTAGCTGATGTTGAGGAAGTAAATTTATATCGGATTTTCAACCGGGTTTTTAATCGCTTACTCTGGAGTCATGGCCAAGGACTCTGGAATTGTTTCTGTGATTCAGGGTAAGTTCTAAGTCATCTCTTATTGTGTAACTTTTAAATATTTTACCATTTAGTTATAGAAGTAGTCCAATAAAATGGTTAATTTTCTTTGATAATCTGTAAATATCTGCATGAAATTGTGTTAGTATTCACCTGTAATTTATATCAATTAACCTGATTTATATAAGATGATTAATATGAACATAACATCATGTAACTAATTTGAATTCAGTGGAGAGAAAGTAATCGTTAATTAATGAAAAAATTTAAATTACAAACCAATATCCTTAAATCTTTATGTAGGAGACTTCTAAAATTATGGCGATACCCTTCCTCCCCTCCAGAATTCCTGTGCTGCCCAAGTTGCTGTGACTCCCTGTCATTTGTTCTTCAAGATATCTGAAACCTAAACACTCCATACCATTTCATTCAGAAATGTCTTCCCTTCCTGACTTCCCATAATCCTGATGTTATTCTCCTAATCATACAGGTGTGATGTTTCTGAGTGTCTGCACCTTCCTTCTCAATGCTATCTTTTTTTTAATATTTATTTTTTAGTTCTAATTGGACACCAAGGTATTGTACCTTTATTTTTTAATTTATTTTTATGTGATGCTGAGGTTCCTCAAACCCAGGGCCTTACACGGCTAGGCAAGCACTCCACCGCTGGGCCACAACCCCAGCCCCTCAACGCTGTTCATTATTCACTCATTGGTGAAATCCTACCAGTTTTTTTTGTCACATTATTTGGACTGTGTCTATTATAAATTGTTCTTCATTCATTCTTTCTATAGTCATCAACATTTAACTGTTGGGTAGATACTTTTGGAGATATAAAAGTGAATTTGATATTTTTGCTCCTCTCAAGAAGGTGATAAAAATAGTTAACTGTGCAACTTAACGGTAGGCCAGGCTCTGTTTAATCACTTTCCATGTATTTAAGTGGTTCATTCCTCATAGCATCACTTTGGATCAGGCTCTGTATTGTCTCTGTGTTATAGATAAGGAATCTGAGATGCACCCAAGGATAAGGACCCAGAGTAACTGGGATTTGAACTCCATTAGCCTTGACCCAAAAGTTCATGTTCTTAACCAATAAGCACCTCTGTCTTTTGTAGACAAAATATGATGTACACAAAAGTAAACAATATAAAAGAGGCACAGAGAGAGTATGACAGGATTACTGACAAAGGGTATCTTTTGATGGAAGGGCTAAGTGACATTAAAAGATTTCTAGGCATTTTTGTCTATAAAGTTTTGTTTTCCTTACTATCTTACTGTCAGGGTCATTTCCCAAAATCTAGTGATTTCTCTCATTTATCTTCAAAGTCTAAATTTCTTATATATAAGCCTAATATGCTGATTATTTTTTATTTTTTTCAGTCTTCTCTCTCATTACTCTCCTACTGGAACTCTGCTCTAGAAAAGCAAACTCACTGGTTTTCCAATATTCTAAAAAAAATCTGTACCTTCTGCATTTTTCAAATCTTATGTAAAAACTGAGACTAGCCCTATATCTTTTTAAAAGAATCTTGAAGTGCCCCTTTCCATATTCTAATCATCACATGCTGAGTCATTCATATGATTTGCGGACTCCTGACCATCATCTTTTTCCTCAGCTGCCATCATTCACTAACAGGAAGAATCCATAAGGCACTCCGGGGTGTGATAAAATGTGAGCACAATCCTGGGAATAAGTTATTTCTACAGAGTGAAATATTTGAACCATATTTCACAGCCCCTTAATGAATTGTTTTCTGTAAAAGTTCTCTCAATCTGAATTCAAAATTGAATATTTTTTTTTTCTATTTGTTGATCCCTTGGTTTTATGCTGTATGTGGATCTCAGCTACTTTTCACTATGGATGGCAATGAGACAGTCTGATGCTAAGATTGGTGCCGGCGGCTTTGAGTTCCTTGGCAACCTCTAGTACCAGGCCCTAGAGATACTTGAGGAGTATACTTCCTTGCCTCTGGGGCTCCTCTTTCCTGAGCTAATTTGCTAGCCTACTCTTAACTCTTTTCAGAATCTTTCTCCTGTCCTTGGCAAATTTCACTATTGGGTAGATACTTTTGGAGATACAAAAGTGAATTTGATACAGGTGTCTTTCACTGCTATTAATGATTGTGATGGTCACACAATTGAAAACCTACTGACACTGTTTTAGGTGTTAAATACCTATAAAGTCCCCTCAAAAATATTTTTGAGTAAACTCCTATTATTATCCACACTTGACAGATGAGGAACTTAAAACAGAATATGTAGGTTGCTCACGTTCCCAGAGTAATTGGGTGATCCTTCGTTTAAACCTGCGTTACCTGAGTCAAGAGCCTAGCCCTTAATACTGTTCATTGACTTTCTTTGAAGTGGAGTTACCAGTGCCTGACAAGCTTGTTTTACTGCAACTCCAAATTCCTTGCCCATTTGTGCCTGGGCTGGTGGAGGAGAAATAGTTTTGACTTTAGAAATACTGTGGCTCCACTCTTCATCCAGCTCTTTCAATTTTGTGGTGTGTAGAGGTGAATTTAACATCAGGTTTTATTTTGCAGCTTTACAAGTGGGTTTCTTAGGCTTCCTTGATTTAATGAAGTCACTTAATACCATTTTTGATTCTCAGCTTGGACCTAGCATAGTTAACATTTTGTCCTTTGAATCATGTCTAATCACCGTACACTCCTTTAACATTTGGTCTAACATCCTGTCAGTCAGAGTGAAACCCTACTTTTTTCCAGATCTGAAGGAATTGTTTTAATATAAGGCTCAGCTCTTTCCCAGTTAGGTGTAAAATCTTGGGAAAATATGACCTAATAACTGGACCATCTTGATTTCTGCCTCTTTCAACACACCCAACAATAAAACAAATTAAGCCATTCCCTGTTCACTTCCACAAACATCAAAGAGTAATGTAGTTCTTTTTGACACATTTCTTTAGAATTGGCTCATGAGTTTTATTGATGCCAAACAGAAAATACTCAAGGCTGAGCCAGGAGCCCTTCTATTACATGCAGCCCCCACTGAGAGTGTTGTAATGCCCCACGTTCCAAATATGATCCCTTCAGGGAAACAGCTCTTGGAATTTTTGTGAATAAAATTATCCTCCAAGTTGTATTGGAAGAAAGTAAGTCTAGGATTCTGTGGAACTCAAATTTAGACCTGACAGCTCAGGAAAAGTGGCTGTGGCTACTAGCATTTCAGCCGAGACCCACAAGAGGAATAGGAGTCAGCCACAGAATAGGAGTCTCCTTCTGCATTAGCAGAAGGAGAGGCAGTGAACAAAGGAGAAGGAATCAACAGTTTGCAAAAGCACCCTCTGTACTCAATCCCCAAGGTGAAACACCCAGGTCCTTTGGACCCTTTAGTCAAAAGTATTTTCTTGTGGGAGTCTGCCATGTAAAATCTTTCCTTTCAGAATTTTAGTGTACAAATACACTTTAAGGAACATTCTAAGATAACTGTTGTTTTTAGGCTGCCTTATGCCAACTTGAATATACGTGCATAAAATATGGACTACCTAAAATAATGTGAACCTCCCTGTTCTCGTATCACTTTCAACTGGAGATGTTCTTGTTGGTATTTTTCAGCTTTCTGTGGGTGATCATTCCGTTGATATATTGATTTAAAAAAAAAACAAACAAACCTTTCTTCTTTCTGGCCAATCAGTTAGTACTTACTTTTACAGAGGAGAAAAGAATGAACCAGTTTCACTCTTCAGATAACTGCCTTATTAAATGTTTTGATGAGAAAGGGGGTGAAAATTATTGGATCACTGAACAATATGAGGATTTTTAAATCTTTGGATTTTCATTACTTTTCCCCTTTGTTGTCAGACGTATTCCGTATTGTATATCTTATCATTATCTTACTAAAAAAGTCATTTAAAGTCATTCATTCACTGTCTTCTCTGAAGATTAAGGAACTCCCCAAAGAACTTATTAATCATTTTAATTTTTCTTTTTGAATTCATAGGTTTGGGTACTCCACTTCTTTGGAATTTAGATTAGAAAGCAGGCAGATGAAACCCTGGTGGCTTTGATAAAAGCACTGGTATTTTTAACTATTTCTGCTTTCTCTCACCTTTTAGCACTGGCAATTAAGATACTGAGGTGCTAAGGTGGTGTTTTGCAGAACACAGCCATGCAGGGTGGTGGCAGGGGGGCCTAGTGTGAGATGCTGTTAGAGGCACAGGTTTCCTCTGTGTAGAGGGGTGCCATTAGCTTGGAGCTGGACCAAGCTGGTCTTTCTCATTGTCTTTCTTCTTATTGAAGGATTTTGGTTTGCTGACACTTGAACATGGATTAATCCAGAATAGAATAGAGTCTGTGGCCAATAATGATGACTGTACACACAATTGATTCATATATTAATTTTAAATATTTTAAAAAGAATAAGAAAATGAGAAGCCAAACCTGGTTAGATTATAACTCACATATTACTTAGAAAATTACATCACACTAGGGTGTTGAAGTAGCCCTTTTGTTGTTCTCCCACTTTGTTTATTCTCTTTCTAACTCTAAACCCCAAGTTAAGAAAAGGAAAAAGTACCTTAATGTGAGTGACCGCATAGTAGCTCTAATCAAATGGCTCCAAAGTGTACAAATAATACATCCCTGTTGAGAGTTGATGGTGGTGATGGAGGTAGACTTTTGTAGACATACTCAGAATTCTGTCAGCAAAGTGCTAGGCAGATAGTCAAAACAGGATGTTTTCTATGTGTATTTACATTTATATAATTTTTTTATATCTGAATCCAGAGATTTAAGACCTGGAAGGTTATGGAATATTGATTATAAACATAAATTTTCCCTATTTTTTTCAAATTAGGAAAGTTTATTTTCTAATTACCTATCTTTATCTTGATGAACATATGGTTTTTCTTATATTTAGTAATATTTTAAACTTATTTGAGTTAATTTAATTATCATATTATTGTCTATTGAGTGAAAATGACTGTTGCTCCTCTGTTAAGGAACAAAACACTTATTATATATATATATATGCTCTCTTTTGGGGACCAGGTTTATCCTGAAAAATAGAAGAAACCATTTGCCTTTCTAATAAAAATACCTTTCTGAGTATCTAAGGCACTTGGTAAAATCCTAAATATCTCAAATAGCCACAGAATTTTGAAAATAGAGTTTTTGAATTTTCCATTGGGAAGTACATTTTATCAGGAAAATATTTTTCTTAGTATTTTTTTCTGACAATCTACTGTTTTCTCTCTAAGGACTACATGAATTGGTTTATGTAAAATGAGACTTGAGCCATTACCGAGTCTCAAATCACTTTCTCCTCAAGGCTGAAGTGTTTTATTTACATTAGAGAATAAGTTTCTCTCTTTTCTTGGGTGGCTGGTGAGGTCTTTCCTGGTTGTTAATACACACACATACACATACACACACACACACACACACACACACACACACACACACACACACACATACTTGAGGTTACCAAAGAAGTGTGCACTAGCTCTTGCTTTGGATTGAGCCAAGCATACTGAAAGAGGAAGGACACTGACTTTAGGATTGCCATGCCTCCACCTGCACTGCTGAGCCCCTAGAAACAGGCCAGGGGTGATAGGAGATTAAGAAAAACACTCAAACATTAAGAGAGAAAGCTGGGATCAGGTGGGATACTGATCTCTGGTTGAGAACAGGGATCCAGAGCTGGCGCAGCATATTTATTATATAGGTTTTATCATTCAAAGGTTATTTGTGGGAAAGTTTCTGCAAAGCAGCCAGGCTTAAAGGTCACAGCACTGAAGAAACATTATGGTTTTCTCGCTATGCTCAGAACCCCCTTTCCCTGGGAGCTAGTATCTGAGTTTCAAGGTCAAGACTGATAACTCTGAACCTGTGCAGTTTCCTCGGGCAGGGTATCACCATAGCAACTGGGCAATCTTAACCTGTACATTTTTTTGATAGGGGGTACTGGGAATTGAACTTGGGGGCTCTCAACCACTGAGCCACATCCCAAGCACTATTTTATATTTTATTTAGAGCAGGGTCTAACTGAGTTGCTTAACACCTTGCTTTTCCAAGGCTGGCTTTGATCATCCTGCCTTAGCCTTCTGAGCTGTTGAGATTAACCTGTACTTTTGCTAAGGGGGTTCCCAGTACAAGTGCACCACAACCACGAGGCAACCAAACACCTGGATCCAAATCACTGTCCCCCACCTTGCAGTGTGTTAGTACTTATGGAGATAATGCTACTTCTAGAGCACAGGACTTGTGCTCTGGGAATATCATGGATGTAGTCTTAAAAAGGGTTTAACCTAATTGTCCTAGTGCTAGTTTAACCTAATTGTCCTAGTTCACAGATTAAATTGTAGCAACTTTTTAATCCCTTTGTAGGATAGGATCATTATTAGTGTTAAGGTAAATACAAATTCTTAGAAAACCTAAATTCCTAGAATACTTAATTTTTGAGAAATCAGTTCAGTATTTTACAAAACTATAATATGGAGTAACTCCATTTTTTTTTTTTTTTTTTTTTTAGGAGATGTTGGGAAGTCGTCCTTTTAGCTACCAATGATTGGAACCACCAAAATCTTTAAAGACAAATAGTACATGAATTTGATGTTGGTTCTTTTATTATATAAAGATTAATTTCCTAATTAATTTGTATTTCTTATATACTTTTCAATCATCTGTATGTATTATAGATGTGTGAGAGTATTTCTAGCTTTCTTTATTGGTTTGTTGCTAGGTAAATGATATAGCTGGTTGCCATTTTTAAACGTGAACATGAAGTCTTGTCTGTTTCCATGCCAACAGATCCTCCTGGGAGAGTATATTCAGTAGAAGCCCAGAGATGGTAACTCCTTTGCAGCTCCAGTGTTGCCAGCGCCTGGTGGAGCTTTGTAAACAGTGCTTGCTAGTGGTTTACAAATATGCAACCGACACAAGAGGATCACTCTCAGGCATTGGTCCTGACTGGGGTAATTCCAGGTACTGTTTACATTCTCTATTCCCTGAGATCTTGATATAAAATAATGTCACAGTACAGTTGGAAATTGAGCGTTTCTTTTTGCTTAGATAGGTAGGGATAAAAATCTAAAGGCTAAAAATTACACACGCAATAATCGACAAAATATTTTTAAGTAGCACATCTTTTCCTTTAAGGGACTAAACAAGGACAGCAATCACAAAACCTGGACATGAGGGAAACAGCATACATGGAAATAAACTTATTTGGTTTACATACTTATTTAAATACTTATATAAACTTATTTGGTTTACAAAATGCAGTAAGAGCATCCAAATATGTGGTAATAAATTCAACTTTTGTTTCCTAGTAGGGATATTTGAACATGTGTCCTGGAGCTTTCTTTATGGGGAAGATGCCTATGGTTTCATTTTATTGTTCAGAAAGCCTCCACTACTCCCTTCAACACCAAAAAAAAAAAAACAAAAAAAAACAAAAAACAACAACAACAACAACAACAACAAAACTCTGTTGGAGTTGAAATTTTGTCAAGTTTCACTTCAAATTTGAGTTTTATGACAGCTGTTAAATTGAAATAGATAGCTTTCCAAAGCTCAAAAAACCACCCAATATTGTTTTTAAGTTGCAAAAATACAGAATAAATTAAATAAGAAGCACATTTTTGTATTTCTCAAAACAATTGTAGCTCCTACTAGAAATAAAATGAATATGAATATATTAGCTTTATTATGTGTACATATTTAGTACTACTCAATGTAGAAGGAAATAAGCCACAATAGTCAAAAAATTCAACTAATATTTGAGTAAACAGTGAGGAAAATGGAACCACAATAGTTTGGATTTTTTGACACAGCGGAAAATTGACCTGTTTATTAAACAAAAAGATCTCAAGCAGGATCCTTAGAATATTATGCACAAAATCTTTTACAAAGATATTTTAAATCTTTGTTTTGGATTCTGTCATTGTACTCGTGTAGTACCTCTAACCTATATTAATTCTTCTGAAAATAATAACTGATTAATCACAACCACGGCAGAAGTAAAATTAACCATTTTGAAAATATGTAAATATTAAACTTATTTCTACAGTTTTTATGGTTTGATTGAAGCAAATTATTGAAATAAAATTAATTATTTTCATGAATAGTCTCATGATGTAAAAGAATGAAATCCATTTTTTAGACATTATAGTATATAAGTAAAGAGCCTTCTCATTAAGTGGTTATATTTTAGGAGCATGCTCAGGAAAACTTTAAATTCCAGTCTAGAAAGGAATTCATCCAGACTATGATGTGATTTCTGCAGTTCCAGATGTCATGACCCTGTTTCTGTGATGAATCATGCAGTTTTGTGGGTAGGCAAATAGGACAAAGTCTTTCTGCTTGCACCAAAAGAAGTTGTTATGCCTAACAGTTGTTTCAGGCCTTTTGATTTTCTTCTCCTTGTTGTGGTCAGGAGAGATATTCCTGACCCTGTAATGTTGTTCTTGACTTCTGATGAGTTCTGTAATGAGATCTGGACTTCTGACGAGTGCTCAGGGTGACCCCAGTATTGTGAGTATAAGCATTTTGGAGTGTTAGTAAATACATTTTTATTCTGCCCACATTCAGAACCTTTTGAGAAAGAGATGTGGGAATCAGACACAGTCATGAATGTAGTTGTATTACTTACCAAGGTTACACTGGGGACATGGTTTAGATGTGAGATTAGTGGGTTTTCCAATATTGAATTCCAGAACTAAACTTACCTATTCCAAGGCAGAACTGGATCAACCCAGACTTTCCTCTACCCTTGCCTGATAAAGTCTAGTGGGAGGGCAAGTGTGAATGTATCCTCTCTGCAGATTTGCTGAGCCAAGCATGCCTGTTTCTTTGAAATCCACAAATCAGATAACTCAATTGTAGTAAGAAGCCAGGAAGATTATACTATTGGAAGTTAAACATGGAAACACAAGGAGCAGAGGGAGTTAAACATTTCTCCCTAATGTCTAGCCACTAAAACTTAAGTCAATGTTATGTTAAGAATATAAATTTTTCTCTTTATATGTAGAGGTAACAATATTTGTTAGTAGCTTTATTTCATTTGTGCAGTATACCTGATAAAATGTACATATGAATTTATATTTATACATTAATTTTAAATATTTAAATAAATATGTAAATATTTTTAATATGCTTAGGAGGGGGCACACCTAAACTATTTATTTATTTTACACAGATAGAGTATAACTTCTTATTTCTTTGGTTGTACATGATGTAGTGTTACACCATTCATCCATTCATACCCGTATATTGGGGTAATAATGTCCATATCATTCTATCATCTCCCCTCTTACTCCTCTCCCTCTCTGCTCAATCCAAAGTTTATCCCTTCTTCCCTTGCCTCCTGCCCATTATGGATCAGTATCCACTTATCAGAGAATATATTGGCCTTTGGTTTTTTGGGATTGGCTTACTTCGCTTAGCATGATATTCTCTAATACCGACCATTTACCCATAAATGCCATAATTTCATTCTTCTTTAAGGCTGAGTACTATTCTGTTGTGTATTTATATCACAGTTTCTTTATCCATTCATCTATTGAAGGACACCTAGGTTGTTTCCACAGTTTAGCTATTGTGAATAGCTGCTGTAAACATTGAGGTGGCTGCATCTCTGTAGCATGCTAATTTTAAGTCCTTTGGAGATAGACTGAGGAGTTGGGATAGCTGGGTCAAATGGCATTCCATTCCAAGTTTGCTAGCATTCCATTCCAAGTTTGCTAAAGTTATCTCCATACTGCTTTCCAAAGTGGTTACACCATTTTGCAATCCCATCAGCAATGAATCATACCTTTTGCCTCCACATCTTGCCAGCAGTTATTGTTGCTTGATTTTTTGATAACTGCCATTCTGTTGAAGTGAGATGAAATCTTTGAGTAGTTTTGATTTGCATTTCTCTAAGTGCTACAGATATTGAACACTTTTTCATAAATTTGTTGATTGATTGTATGTCTTCTTCTGTGACGTATTTGCTCATTTCCTTATCCCATTTATTGATTGGGTTATTTGTTTTTTGGTGTTAATTTTTTTGATTTCTTTATTTAATTTTAATTATAAATAAATATATAAATATTTTAATATGCTTATAAGGAGGTGCATTTATAACGTGATACATTTTGGATAATTTATCTATAAAATTAAAAAAGAAAAAAAATAGAGTTAACATCAGTCAGGTTTATTGATAATGTTTATCTTGACTAGAGATCTGTGGGATATTTACTAGGAGGCTTTAGAGTTGATGGCATTTATTACATGAAAGAGAGTGGCCTTCTCAGAAATACAATCATAAGCACAAGTAGTAAAAAGCCTTTCTCAGGGCCCGTAATATCTAAGCAAATAGGACTGGTATATACATCTAGGTGGTCAATTAGAATCAATCTAAGTATGTGTGTATGTATGTATGTATGTATGTATCTCCCTATCTGACATTAGCATTCTTGGAACCAGCTCAATATCTCACTGTAACTAGGTTTACTTGGGAAGCTTTAGGATCTCCAACCACTTTTTGGCCTCCTGGTTTACATGACTTCACTAGTCAGTTCTGTCAAACCCACCCAGAAAACAGGAAAAGAGAAAACTTTATTCCCTTGTTTTACAAGGCTGCCATCCTTTTGATACCAAAGTATTTTGATACCAAAACCCAACTGGAGAATTATTGCAAAAGAGAACGAATGCTCAGTCTCAACGCTAACCATAGATATAAAAATTCTAAACCAAATAGTAACAAACTGAACCCAGAGAGTTTAAATAGGATAATATATCATGATCAACTTCTGCTTAATCCATAAATTTTTAAGGATGCAATAACATTAAAAAGTGATCAGTATAATTTTCTATATTAGTAGAATAAAAGATCACTTTGAAAGACATAAATAAATCACTTGGTAGAATTCAGTGTACATTCTTGCTTTAAAAACTCCTTAGTCACCTAGGGAAAAAATTAAATCCAGTCTAATAAAGGATAGCTATGAAAATATCACAACAGACAAACCTAAATGTTGAAGTGTTAAAGGCTTTCCTTTTCAAATAAAGGACAAAACAAGATTTCTCATTATCACTACTTCTATCCAGTATTGTGCTGGAAGTCCTAGATTATGTAATGAGGAAAACAAAATAAATTAAAAAATTAGGTTTGAAATAAAGAACTAAAACTCATTACCAGTAGGTATGATTATGCTGATACACATCTAAACAAATTTGTAGATTCATTTAAGTAAGTGCAACAATTTTGATGAAAGCAAAGTCAATATAAGAAAATCAATTGCATTTTCTGTATTAACAACAAATAGTTAGAATATGAAATTTTAAATATGATTTTAAATATCTTGAAATTATATGTAACCCTTAAGAATAAGTTTGTATGATATGTTAAGATCATTGTAGTGTCATATGTAACTAATTTAAACAAATTTTAAAAAAGAATAAGTTTAACAAGAAAGGCAAGAAAGCTTAAAAAAATGAAAAGATATACCTTATTCATCATTGAAATGATTGTTATTAATATGTCAGTTCTTTGCAAATAGTTTTTGTACATATGTAGTTTTCAACTAATCTTATTTTTATTTACTTTTGGTAAGGAAAATATTAAACTAAAGCTTTTTTAAGCATTTATAATACAGAAAAGCAAAGGAATAATCTTGAAATAAATTATGAACTGGTAGAATTTGTTAAGTACTGTGTACAAAAACTTATAGTAAAGATAAATTAAGCCAAGCTAATATGAAATTGGCAAAAGGATAAATAATTGAGCCATAAGTAAACCCAGGCCTACATTTTTACTTGATTTATGGCAAAAAAAGGGAGGAATGCTTTACTTATGAAGAGTGGGAAAAAGAAGTTTGTTTAAAGAAGTGGTGCTGGACAATTGGATTTCCAAATAATAATTTTAAAAAGAACTTGACTTTACCTATGCCATAAATAAAAACTATTTCCTGGTGAACTGAGTAAACCAGTAAAGCAAA